GGAGAAAATTAGATGTTGTTGCCTGACATACCATAGACTCCTAGGGCTGGAAGAACCTCAGGAGATCATCAGGTCCAGCCCCCTGCCCAAATCAGAATCAACCCTAACTAAATCATCCCAGCCCGGGCTTTGTCAAGCCGAGATTTAAAAACCTCTAGGGATGGAGATTCCACCACCTCCCTAGGTAACCCATTCCAGTGCTTCACCACCCTCCTAGTGAAATAGTTTTTCCTAATATCCAACCTAGACCTCCCCCACTGTAACTTGAGACCATTGCTCCTTGTTCTGCCATCCATCACCACTGAGAACAGCCTCTCTCCATCCTCTTTGGAACCTCCCTTCAGGAAGTTGAAGGCTGCTATCAAATCCCCCCTCATTCTTCTCTTCTGCAGACTAAATAAGCCCAAGTCCCACCAGCTACTTCTATACTGCAGCCTTCTTCTGCAAAAGCTTATGCAAATGAAGCGCAGAGTAGAATATCGCCACACTTCATTTGCATAATTAATTAGCAGCCGTTTTTGCGCAAGAGGCTTTTGCACAAAAAGGAGCTGTGTAGATGGCTCCTTTTTGCTCAAAAAACCCCTCTTGCGCAAGAGCCGTTCTTCCTGACTTAGCACTTGTCCTTGTCAAACCTCATCAGATGTCTTATGGCCCAATGCTTTAATCTGTGTAGGTCACTCTGGACCCTATCCCTGCTCTCCAATATATCTACCTGTCCCCCTAGCTTAGTGTCATCCGCAAACTTGCTGAGGGTACAATCCATCCCCTCATCCAGGTCATTAATGAAGATATTGAATAAAACTGGCCTTAGAATCGATCCGTGGGGCATTCCACTTGAAACCGACTGCCAACCAGACATCAAGCCATTGATCACTACTCATTGGGCCCAATAATCTAGCCAGCTTCCTATCCATTTATCCAATCCATACTTCCTTAACTTGATGGCAAGAATATTGTGGGAGACTGTATCAAAAATTTTGCTAAAATCAAGGTATATCACATCCATTGACTTCCCTATGTCTACTGAGCCAGATACCTCATCACAGAAGCTAATCAGATTGGTGAGGTATGACTTGCCCTAGGTGAATTCATGTTGGCTATTCCTGATCACATTCCCTCTTTCAAGTGCTTCAAAATGGATTCCTTGAGAATCCCCTCCATGATTTTTCCAGTGACTGAGGTAAGGCTGACTAGTCTGTAGTTCCCTGGATTGTCCTTCTCTTTTTTGAAGACAGGCACTACATTTGCCTTTTTCCAATCATCCAGGCTCTCTCCCGGTCTCCATGAGTTTTTAAAGATAATGTCCAAAGGCTCTGCAATGATATTTGCCATCTCCTTCAGTACCATTAGAAGCATTAAATCTTGATCCATTGATTTGTGTATATCTAGGTTTTCTAAATAGTTCTTAACCTGTTCTTTCTCTACCAAGGAATGCCCGCTTCCTTCCCATACTGCGTTGCCTAGTGCAGTAGTCTGGGATCTGACCTTGTCTGTGAAGACAGAGGCAAAATGTATGGTGCATGCATGATATTGATTCCTTAAGAATTCCCAGTTAACACTCTGAAGTTGAATAGGGTTCTTGTCCCAACATCAGGCCCACAGTGAGGCTGTGACAGGCTGTAATTCTCAGAGAGAATTCTAACAATAGAGTCACAGCTCCTGTCTGATCCTTTAACCAGGCTGGTATTCCTGCCCAGCATATGTTTTTTCTCTGCCCTTTCCCTGCCCCCACCGCCTGTGTGCTCCACTGTTACTGCAGGTCAAAACCATCCCTTCCCCCCACCACTCAATTCATTCCCCTGCACCAGCCCTTCTCTCTCCCTCCTCCCATCCATCTCAAATCCGGATTAGGTGGAGGGAGCTGGGAAGGGAATCTAGTAACCAAAGTCTATCCCATTAAATCCTAATGCCCAAATTGTATTTTATAACTAACCTAAAAAAGAGAAATCTGTAAATCCTTCATTACTCCCTCTGGAGAAGAGGAATGAAAATAAAGGGGGAAGGGACTATGGATAATATATATGAGGCAGGGTTGTGAGTATTGGTGTGCATAGAAGAGAACTGAAAAGGAACCCTAACAGCCTAGTAGAAGATCATTATCATACCCTGGATAACTGCTTAGAGATTAAAATATAAAACTCATATTCAGTTTTATTTGTATCTTTGGTGTGTGAATAAAAAGTCTTTGTTTGAATACTTCTTACTCCTATTGTTGTGCTATTCATTTCAATAATAAATACTCAGCTAGCCCCAAGTAGCCCACAGCCATCATCCTACCACATATTAAAAGAATGACTTGTTTGGTGTGAGTAAAGCAAAATTTGAGTTTACAGATAGGAGATGGGTTAACTCCCATGTCTCAGGACAGGACTGAGGCTGCACTGAGGATCAATTTATTGGCATTTGATTTAGCAGGTCTAGTTACCATTGGGGTAACACAGCACCAGCCAAAGTTTATCACTTTTGACAACACAGCTCTGCTCGGCAGAGTGCGTGTGTTCATGTATATAGAGTTTGGTTCTGAAGCCTTTTCCACTCCTCAGCTCATTCTTAGTGGTCAGGGGAGAGTTCGTTCAGATGGGGCTTACATATGGTGATTCCTTTTCTTCAGAAGCAAATCTGGCCTTGGACCATCTGCTCAGCAAGCTCCATGCCTCGCTTTTAGGAGCCCCATCCTGAAGGCTGCCGTTTTCATGGTAAGAGCAAGCAGCAATTAGTGCTCCACACTGGTCCTTTTGCACAAAAGTTTTTTGGAAAAAGACTTTTGCCCGAACGGGAGCAGCACATGAGATCGTCAGTGCTTTTGCGGAAATTCAAGCGGCCAGTGTAGAGAGCTGGCAAGTTTTTCTGGAAAAGCAACTGCTTTTCCGGAAAAAGTGGCCAGTCTAGACACAGCCACATTGTATGAGCAGTATGGGAAATCTGAGGAAGAGTGCTCTATTTCAAAATAAATGCTGTGTAGACGCTCCCTGTTTCAAAATAAGCTTTTTCGAAATAAGCTATGCAACTGATCTAGCTCAATTTGCGTAGCTAATTTCGAGTTAAGCCCTGCAGTGTAGATGCACCCACAGAGATGGGAGCAGTGCCATGGAACTGTAGGAATGAAAAGGGACTTAACAGTCCCCTGCACTCATGGCAGGACCAAGTGTCATTTAGACCATCCCTGACAGATGTTTGTCTAACCTGCTCTTAAACATCCCCAATAATGAAGATTTCACAACCACTCCGGGCAATTTATTCCAGTGCTTAACTACCCTGACAGTTATCAAGTTTTTCCTAGTCTGTGTCTACACTGCACACTAATTTCAAAATAATTTATTCAGCAGGCTTCCTACTCTGACTTCTGTAACCCTCATTGAGGAGTAAGGGAAGTCAAAGGAAAAGTGTTCTTCCTTTGACTTCCTGCTGTGTAGACAGTGCCAAAAGCTGAGTTAAGCTACTTCGACTTCAGCTACACAATTAAGGCAGCTAAAGTTGCATATCTTAACTTGACTTTAGCCTGCAGTGTAGATGTACCCCTAATGTTCAACTGAAACCTCACTTGCTGCATTTTAAGCCCATTGCTTCTTGTCCAATCCTTAGATGTTAAGGAAAATACTGTTTCTCCCTCCTTCTTGTAACAACCTTTTAGATACTTGAAAACTGTTATCATCCCCTTTCAGTCTTCTTTTCTCCAGACTAAACAAACCCAGTTCTTTCAGTCTTCCCTCATAGGTCATGTTTTCTAGAACTTTTTTGTTGCTCTTCACTGGATTTTCTCCATTTTGACCACATCTTTCTTGAAACGTGGTGCCCAGAACTGGACACAATACTCCAGCTGAGGTTTAAACAGTGCAGAGGAGAGGGGAAGAATTACTTCTCATGACTTGCTTACCACACTCCTGCTAATATATCCCAAAATGGTGTTTCCTTTTTTGCAACAGTGCCACACTATTGACTCAAATTTAGCTTGTGGTCCACTATGACCCCTATTTTCCCTTTTCACAGTACTCTTTCCTAGATAGTCATTTTCCATTTTGTATGTGTGAAACTGACTGTTCCTTACGGAGTAGAATACTTTGCATGTGATCCCGGTGAATTTCAATCTATTTTCTTCAGACAATTTTTCCATGTTGTCCAACTCATTCTGAAATTTTAGCTTGTCCCCTAAAGCACTTGCAATCCCTCCAGCATGGAACCTTGTAAGTGTACCCTGTGACATTATCTAACTCACTAATCAAGCTATGGAAGAAAACCAAGTCCAGAACTGAACCCATGCTGACAGGTGCACTGGGAGTGTAGACAGATATGGGGGCAATGGATTAGGAAGTAGCTGCACTTGTGGGATAGGGAGGGAGAAGAGGGTTGGGTGGAGAAGGCAACAGCATGGGGGGTGGGGGTGTGTTAAGGGTGTGTGTTAAGGGTATTGCTGGGAGTCAGCCCGCAGCACTGGGGCAAGGAGGAAGTAGTAAAGGGTGAGGGCTGGCCAAGCCTGCTGGAAACGTTTGTATAGTGGGCGTGCTGCTGACAGCTACTGAACCCTGTATCTGAGGGAAACCACTTCAAGCCAGGAGGCGCAGGAGCACCCTTCTTTCCAGCTCCTATAGGGCTGGCTCAAGACACTCCCCGCCCCCGTTCCCCCAATCCCTTCAAATCCACTAACTGAGCCGGAGTGCCCAAGTATCTCCTCCCCACGCCATGCTCTCTCCTAGCAGCGGCTGCAAGGGGCCGGCAAAGGGAGCGCCTCCCAGCTGGGGGTGAGGCGGAGGAGCAGCCACGGGAGGTGTCCTGTTACACGGGGAGGGTGGAGGGGCCCGCCCAATTGTTCCGTGCCCCAGCCTGACTATCTCGCTTCCCCCGGGCACGGGACACCCGTGGGGCAGCTCACGCTGCTTCCAGCTGCCCCCGGCTGGCTCCCTCCCACCCGTGCCATGCTTCCCCCAGCGCTCGGCTCGCTCAGCCGCGGGCGGGCTGCGCGCCGCGTGTTTGGAAAGTTGCCGGTTCGCGTCGGGGAGGGTGTGACCAATCTGATCCGGGAGCCATGAATAAATTAACCAAATCCCATCTGGCCATGGGTCAGGTGACTCCCCATGCAACTCTACTTTCGGCTCCTGGCAGCCACGCACGCTTCACCGGCAGCGCTAGGGCGCCTCGCAGTTACTCTGCTCGCTTTCCTTGCTCCTTTCTCTCCAGCTCCCTCGTTAACGTGCTTCGGCTCTCTTTCCTTCTGGAGGAGGGGCGCCAAGAAGCTGTGTGCATCTGTCACCCCGGCTCTGATTGGCGCACGGCCAGCGGCAGTGGGAGAAAAAAAAAGGGAAAGAAAGAAAAAAAGAAGAGATCCTGGCTTATTTAAGCAATGAGAAGCTCTGCTTTCCTGTTGTGCATTGGGATTGTATGCTGCAACGCAGCGAGGGATTTTGCACCGGTTGCAAAGGAAGAACCTCTGAAAGGTAACACACCAGCACCTCTTGGTATTAGAGCAAAACTTCTAGGGTTTAGTGTCTAGTCCATGCGTTGTCAATGACACATCTGATCCACTAACTTAGCGCATGGACTAGACATACAACCACAGTGAGTTTCTAGTCATGCATGTGTCCCACTTATAACTCCGTGTTGGCTTTAACCTTTTCTTTGGCTGTTACACCTTTGTGTACTGATTATTAAAACTACACCTAAATGGACTTTATGTTCACAGTTCCAGCTTAATCTAATGGGTTAATTTAAGTGGATGTCTCCTGCCAACAACAGATTTGAAGGGAATGACTACTGGGAGAAAAACAACAAATGGTCGGGTAGCACTTTATAGACTAACAAAACGTGTAGATGGCTATAAAGTGCTACCAGACCATTTGTTGTTTTTTTTCTGTAACAGACTAACTCTGCTACCCTCTTGAAGCTGCTGGGAGAAGTTGTTCTCCCTTACTGTGTGATTTCCTTCTAAGCATTTGATAAGACTAGTGTGTGGAAAGTTGGCACATGCATTGGAAGCACGGGGTAAGAAACAGAAGTAGCCCTGTTCAGTAGAGCTAAGGCTCTCTAGGAAATGTATGGAAATTCCCCTTGCCCACTTGAAATATTTTATTTACTCTATATAAAGTTTGCTTAAAGATTCTAGTTAGCGAGTATAGCAAGGCATAAACAATGCCCTCTAACAGCATTCCTAAGTGTCACTTCTTTCTTTAGAAGCCTAGATACAGGAAGCTTGTTACACACAGAATCCTAGAATGGAAGGAACATTGAGAGGTCATCAAATCCAGTCCCCTGCACTCATGGCAGGACCAAGCACCATCTAAACCATCCCTGACAGGTGTTTGTCTAACCTGGTCTTAAATATTTTCAATGATGGAGATTCCACTATGATGGAGATTCTACTATCTCCCTAGAAAATTTATTCCAGTGCTTAACCACCCTGGCATACTGCAATTTGTGTATCTTTTCCAACTTGTCTTTGGGAGGACGCTTTTCCAAAAATTTGCACACCAAATTTCAGAAAAACCTTCTCTTTCAAGCCATCTCTTGTTCCTCGTGAAAGGAAGTTTATAGGGATGGCGAAAGAATGCGGCTGAGTTCCTTAGACACATCATAGCTTTTCCAGGATACCAAAGGTATCCCGGAAAAGAGGTGCAGTCTAGACGTTGCCCCTGACAGGAATTTTTCCCTAATGTCCTAAACCTCCTTTGCTGCCATTTAAGCTCATTGTTCCTTGTTCTATCCTCAGGTGTGCAGGAGAATTCTTTTCCTCCCTCCTTGTTAACAACCTTTTAGATACTTGAAGGCTGTTCTCATGTCCCCTTTCAGTCTTCTCTTTTTCCCATCTAAACAAACCAATCTTGCCTCATAGGTTATGTTTTCTAGACCATTCATCATTTTAGTTGCTCTTCTCAGGACCTTCTCCAGTTTGTCCACATCTCTGCAGTTCGTTCTGTGCATGGGTTCTCATGAGCTCCAGCATCCCGGCATTTGGTAACATGACAGAAATAAGGAAAATGGCATGTTGTGGTGATAAAAGCCATGTAATCTCATGCTAATGTGTGCTTGCTCCTCCGAGTTAGCTGTAAGACTCTGGTAGGGCACAGTCCTCTAAAGCAGGTATACTTTCACTGAAGTCACAGGAGTTGCCGGAGGGCTGACTTCCCCTTCATTTAATATAAGCTGCACTAACAGTAAGACTAGACACTAATTTTGAAATGAAATTGAAACAATAACACTTCTTGCTCCACAAAAACCCAGTTGTTCTTCCCCTTTACCATGTGAACTTTAATTGGAGGGCAAGGATGAAGGCAAATTCTGTAATGCTTTTTCAAAACTGCCATCAAAGTCAATGGGGATTTTGCATTAGCAAGGACTGCAGCATTTTCAATGATATTTAGATTTTGGAAGGTCAATGCATTTTGGTCTGGTTGAGCTCTTGAAAGCCAATCAACATTCTCTACCCTGCATTACTGATTTACAGTGTAATTAAATCAATAGCAGAGCATCCCCTCCATATCCTTTCTCCCTCCTACAATGTCTGTGAATTCCAAATTAAAATGCATGTTGTTTGCTCGCTGCTACTGTGGTTAGCAAACTAAAGTGACTGGGCAGCTCACCAATCTGTAATCAGGATAGTCTGCTGTACTGTAGGAGAACCTGGCTGACATTCAGTTACAGCAAAGCGACTGAAGTCCCAGTCTTCCATTAAAGACACCCCAGGCCTCAGCAACTTTTGGATATTACTGAAGAATCTGCTTTCCAAAACTTTAGAAGAACATTGCGTGAAGCTTCTTGATTTGACACAACAAAAAACAGTGGTTGAGCTGGGAAATTCTTCTCTGCCAGATGTCTAATAAGTGGGGGTATTAAGTGTCTGACTTTGAATTGCTTGTAGAGGAGGTATACAAGGGCATTTAAGGGAGTGGAGGTATCCTCCTTTTGCAGCTGTCTTGGAATCTTTCTGCTAATTGGTCGCTTTCAGCAGTATCTATAAATGTACTCTAGGGTTTGAGCCAGAAATTCACCACCCCTTTTTCAAATTGAGGAAGTGGAAAATCTGTTTTCCCATCTCCCAGCCTTCATTTGATGAGAGAGAGACTGCAAACAAACTCTTAAAACAGGTTCTCAAACTTCATTACACCATTTAACCGACACCCCTGCTGGGTGTGTTGTACTGTCCCATCTAGTAGCACTGTGACCACTTACAGAGATAATAAGTCTGCTCTACAGCCTTATCTAAGAGCCAGGTGGCTTTTAGGTCATGCAGTCGAGGCTCATGCACTAAACTCCAGAAGCTCCAGGTTTGATTATGCCTGCTGTCATTATGACGACACTCCTCTTCCAACAACAAAGGACTGTGGCTCAGGATCAGGCTTCAGCCTCAGGTCCAGCCCCGGCAACCTAATTAAAATGGAGTTGCAACCCCTAGTTTAAGAACCACTGTCTTAAAATACTCCATTAAAAATGATGCCTTGCACCTACTTTGGTGAATAAGGTCTTAAAAGTTGTAACCATACAACATTGCTGATCTCTCTCTAGATGATGTTCCTGTGCTGCTGAAGAAAGGAAAAGAACTTGCACAGGCTCAAGGAGTACCTGTGAAGTTTAATCTTCGCTCCTCCACTGCTCCAGAAGATGAAGGCTGTTCTCTCTCCATAGGCCAAGACAAATGTTTAGAGGACTGTAAATTCAACTTGACAGCTAAAACCTTCTTTATTATTCATGGATGGACGGTAAGCGTTGGGATGTATGTAGCCCTAGGCACTATTTAATTTCCGGTGTGCTAGTTAATTGGGCGGCACAAATGACTCCAACCATATTAGGACTAGAAAGGGGGGGGGGGGGGAGAGAGGATCAAGTGCCCAGAGGCAGAAGATTTATTGGGGTCCTACACATTTAGGCACCTCACATCTCTTGGCTGCCCAGGAGCCCTGCCCCCTTTACCTTCCCTTTGTCCTACCTGGCTAGAAACTGGCATTGTGGTAAGAGTTGCCCAGGGAATGTGAGGCACTATGGGAAGCCATATTGCATCCTGCAGGGAAGAGATATTGGAGGGTCCTGGGCAGCTCTTACCAAAGCCTAGGGCAGTGGTCCCCAAACTGCAGGGTATGCCCCCTGAGGGGAACACGGGGGAGGGGGGGGCGGAGGCAAGCAGGTGAGATTACCACCCAAACCTCCTGTGGTTCCACTGAACCCTAGCCCAGCTCCCAGCGCCTGCCCTGGCTCCGCTCCCTGCTGCAGCTTAGCAGCACCTCTGGTTCCCGCTTCTGGCCTGACCACAATCCCTGACCTTCGTTTTTAGGAGAGGTGTGCATCACGGACCATGTACGGGGGATGTATCTGAAAAAGTTTGGGGATTCTTGGCCTACCCCTGGTGACCTTATGTCCCATTTTTGGCCTCAGATGGCCCAACTTTTTTGGCAAAAATGGTAAGAGCAAAGAGGATGAATGCCCAGATGTTCCAAAAAAGGGTTTTGGAGGATGGGGGCTGAATGGCCAAGATTAAGCCAGTACTGCGCAGGGGACAAGGGGACTTGGACAAGTGGTTCAGGCCAGCTCTGCCGAGAGGGAGGGAATATTGGCTTAGGCCAGATCCACGTGAGAGGTGGAAGGGGTTCAGGTGAGTGGCTTGGTTAGCTCCTAGAAGGGGGAATACACTTTCCAACACAGGCTCCATCTTCTGACCTCAGGAGGAAGCAGAGGGGTTGGGGAGAGGAAATGAGGAGCAGGGAAGAGGGCCAGATTGCCAGTATTCCTGTGTGGCCCCCAAATTGGCCAGGGGCCTGCGAGTGTCCCCCCAGTCTGGCCTGCCTGAGAGAGAGGTGCTCCCACCATGTTCGGCTGCTCTCCCCAGCAGCCAGGCCGGGGGTGGAATGGAGCTGCTTCTACCTGAGAGAGTCTGGCTGAGAGGCAGCAACGGCCCATTTCCTGCCCAGCCTTGGCTGCCAGGGACAGGGGCTGAGTGAACCGGAAATATACCGCAGTCCAAAGGGGCTTTGGCTTGCTTACCCCTGTCCCTATCAGCCGAGCCTGGGCAGAGAATGGCTCATTGCAGCCTCCCAGCCAGGCTCTCTGCCAGGGTGAATGGCTGAATGTGTGGGAGTAAGGCGCACGGAGAGAACAGAGGCCCCTTCTCACCCCACAAGTAACATGGGGCAGGAAGAGCATGGTGGCCCAGGCTGCACTTAGGCAGGGGGAAGCAGGCCTCACTGGGCAGAGAAGAGATGTGAGAAGGACACATCCTCCCCTTTAGATTGTCCCCTCACTCCCGTATGGGGAAACATAAATCTGTGGTCAAGAATATACAGGATACTATACTTTGTGTTCTGTCCTCTGCAGCCTCCTAGTACTTGTGCTTGAAGGCCTAATTAGAAGCAATGATGCAATGTTGCAGGTACTAGGGTTGCCAAATACTTTCACAAAAAATACTGAACATGGCAGGAAAAAAATTGGGTGGGGGGGACAAAAAAAAGGGGGGGGAACCAAAGTTGAGTTTTTAAAAAAAAAAAAAAAAGAGAGACACTCCCCACTATATGCGGCAGGGGAAGAATATCCCAAGCAGCCTTCTGTCTGAGGAAAAACAGAAAATACCAGACATTTTACATGTCTGGTATTTTCGGTTTTGTTTTTTTTTACTGGACAGAGGCTGCAAATACCTGACACCAGGCAACCCTAGCAGGTATTCATAAGAACTCTGCAAAATCATATTGGCTAGCCAGTGTGTTTCATCCTCGTTTTGTATCTGAGCCTCATGAACTGGACTGAAGAAACCTAACGTTTTAAATGACAGGTGTGCAAACACATTGCTGTTACCTCGGTAAAAGTTCTGCTCTTAAAGTACTAGATGCAAGAATTGGTACCCCGTGCAAGCTGACCATGTGTATATTATAAAGTTTAAAAGGCTAACCTAATGGCATGTGTGTGTCCCGCTTTCTAGGACCAAAAAGAACTAATTTGATCTTTTGTAGATGAGTGGCATGTTTGAAAGCTGGCTGGGCAGCCTGGTGACTGCTCTTCAGAAGAGAGAGAAGGATGCTAATGTGGTGGTAGTGGACTGGCTTCCCCTGGCCCATCAGCTCTATACCGATGCTGTGAACCACACACAGCTGGTTGGAAAAGACATTGCAAGGCTGCTCAACTGGTTGCAGGTAAAATTGTACGAATGGTCCCTGTGGGGTAGTGCATGTGGGAACAGAACAGGGGCCAGCTTTAGCACTTCTGCAGTGTGAAAGCAGCTGGCCTAATTCATGACCTCAGTTCAGTAGCTTGGTCCAGCACAAAGATGACAGGACAGAGTCAAGCCTGGTGTAAGCGGGAGCAACCCTGTCTTCACACAGTGTGTAGTCAACCTGTGGAACTCCTTGCCAGAGGAGGCTGTGAAGGCTAGGACTATAATAGAGTTTAAAGAGAAGCTAAATAATTTCATGGAGGTTAGGTCCATAAAAGGCTATTAGCCAGGGGATAAAATGGTGTCCTTGGCCTCTTGTTTGTCAGAGGCTGGAGAGAGATAGCAGGGGACAAATTGCTTGATCATTGTCTTCGGTCCACCCTCTCTGGGGCACCTGGTGCTGGCCACTGTCGGTAGACAGGATACTGGGCTTGAAGGACCTTTGGTCTGACCCAGTACAGCCATTCTTATGTTCTGGCCAGCGGGCTGGCCTTACCTGATGCTACCAGCAAGAGCAGAGGTGCAGTGCTTGCTGAATGTAGAGGTTAATCTCCATCAACAAGTGAAGAGTCTCCGGCCCAAGTTTTCCAGACGTGACCAGTGACTGAGTGCCTCCATTTGTGGATGGCCAGATTGAGACTCTTTGGGCAGGTAGTCAGAGGGGCTGAGCAACAGCACTGGAACCAGGAATGGGCAGAGGGGAGGGGCCCAGTTCTCCATTTTTTTTTTAACATGGGTGTAGTTTGCGGGACTTGGGCAACACTGGGGCTCCCAAAACTGCCAGCTTCAGGCAAACCCAGAACAGTACTTGGTCAATTCCCCTGCTGTGAAGTGCAGCTCCTGTTGGTGCCACTCTGTGCCTGCCCAGGGCTGGCAGTTTTGGTGCCCAATATTACCCTTACTCCCCAAACTATGCCCATATTAAAAGAGTCGGGGCATGGCCCCCTGATGCCTCCAGGTTCCAGCATCACCTGCATTTAGATTCCAGCACCCTTGGAGCTGAGCACCTGCAGATCCAACTGACTTCACTTACAATTGTAAGTGCTCAGATCTTAAGCGGGGGGGGGGGGAAATCAGGCTCAAGATGTCCAATTAGCCCTCCCAAAATCAGTACCATATCTGGCAAAAATAAGAGCTAACCTGGTAATGCTTCTACTAAGTTACTGAACTTTGAGGGCTGCAAAGCAAAACAGAATGCATTGATGTCCCTCATCATCACTCCAGACAGTTTCTCAGAGAACACCGTTCCTGTGACTGAAAGTTAGAAACAAGAAGGGACCAGCTAGTCTCCAAACTACTGAATGATTTTGCCAGTATCTTGAGAAAACATAAGAGGCATGATCCAAATGTCTAGAACTGAATTTGGCAGCTGGAGTCCCTCTGCCTAGATAGAGTTATCCACTCTCTTGAACACATAACCAAACTTAATTATTTCTGCACTTGCAGGAAAAGCAGAACTTTCTGCTTGAGAACGTCCACTTAATTGGGTACAGTCTTGGTGCCCATGTTGCTGGGTATGCTGGTAACTATACACATGGGACAATAGGCAGAATTACAGGTAAGGCTTTCCTAAAGCTACCACAGTGCAATACTTTTGTCCTTTTGCAATATCAGTGGGGTTGTCAGAACTTCAAAATCCTAGCTGCCTTGTTGAGATGTCTTACTCTGGGTTTAATAATGAAAGTATCCAACTATTTTCTTTTGTAATTCTCCAGTCGGACACTCCTCACTGATGTTTTTCTTGCATGTTAAGTAGGGCTGTCAATGTGTAGATGACTACACGATTAACCGATAAGCCTGGGCTTATTGGTTAATTCTGTCAATTACACACATTCACTCTCTCGGCAGCAAGGGTGGGCAGGCAGGAGCCAGTGTCCAGGGGGAGCTGGATTGAAAGCCGGTTCCCCGTGAGCACCGGATGCGCCTGCCCCTCTCCCACTCTCACCCTGCTGCCTCTGATAGAGAGGCAGCAGCACAGAGGGTGAGGGGGGCAGGCGGGAGCCAATACGTGCAGTGAGACATCTTTTAAAGCTGGCTCTCTGCGCATGCTGGCTCCGCAGACCCACCTGCCCCCCCTTGCTGCCTCCTGATACAGAGGCAACAGTGGAGGGTGGCAGGTCTCTCTCTGCAAGTGGGGCCAGGAGCACACTGGCTACTGGCCCCATCCCCAGGGACTATCGAATAGTAGTGTAACCACATTAAATTTTAGCGGCTACACAATTATTTAATTTCACGATATCTAACATCCCTAATGTTAAGGATATTAAACTAAGGCGATTGATCCAATTTCCGCCTCCCACTTTTAGCAAAAAAAAAAAAAAAAAAAATCCCTTGGGAACTTGTATTAGTCCTGACACTGTCTCATGAAAGTGAGACTGCTGGCACTCACTGGAATCCGGTCCCAACTGAACATTTACCCAAAGGCTTTCCGTCCTGATTTGACACTTCTGCTATCAAAATTCTACTTTAGGCCTGGTTTACGAGCTAGCCCAGGGCTACGTCTAGACTGCAAGCCTCTTTCGAAACAGGCTTTTTCGAAAGATACTTTTGAAAAAGCCTCTTTCGAAAAAGAGCGTCTAGACTGCAAGCAGTACTTTCGAAAAAGCAAGCCGCTTTTTCGAAAGAGCACCCAGGCAGCCTGGATGCTCTCTTTTGAAAAAGCCCTGTTTGCATTCAAGAACACCTTTTTTGAAAGAGCACTTTCAAAAAAAGGCGTTCTTCCTCGTGAAATGAGGAGTACCGCCGTCGAAAGAAAAGCTGCGTTTTTTCGATTTAATTTCAAAAGAACGCGGCTGTAGTCTAGACGCAGGTGAAGTTTTTTCGAAAAAAGGCTATTTTCGAAAAAACCCTGCAGTCTAGACATAGCCTAATTGAGACAATAGTTTGCCTCCCTTTTGGCCAACATCAAATTTTAAACTCTGCTCAACTTTTGTGAAAAGCTACTTTGTCCCTCCACAACTAAATTCCTAATAAAAACGAGTAGTCCTGTGGCATCTAAGAGTAACAAAAATATATAGAATCATGAGCTTTCGTGGGTAATACCCACAGTGCTATTGGTTCAGAAGGCCAGTACTCTAAAGAGAAACTTTCACCTTTCCTTGTGGAATGTCTTGGATCTTATATGGATTATTTGGAAACATGGTGAGAAAAGGACATTCCTTGCAATAAAATGTATAGCTTAATTACCTGTTACACTAAGGATAAGAGATCCATCTCCCCATAAATATTTGCAAAAAAAAAAAGTATAAATAATAGGGAAGGCATTTAAATAAACTAAATATTTTAAAATTTGCACCAAAGATCAAATTCTCAAGTTAAAGACAATTCAGTTAATTTTTTATTAGACAAGTAAAAGAGGGAAGCAGGTAGTAGCGGCAAGTAATCAGTCTCTCTCACTTAAAAATGACCCAAGTGCAGGATGGTTCGGACAAAACATTCTGGTTTTAACCCATCTTTAGTTCTGAGTCTTATCCAGCTATTCTTGTCTAGATCTTATTACTGTAAGGGAACTTCCTACTGTTCAAGGTATCAGCATGACTAATAGGAATGTTGGATCCCTTGAACATTGGGAAAGGTGAATTGTTCAGCTTCTGTTCACTGCCTCTTTCTTCCCCACTAGTCTCTCCTTTACCAACTTACCTTCTGGATGCTACCGTAGTTCCTCTCCTGTGCAGAAAAAGTGCATGCTTCAAAGACTATTCTTCCCCCTCCCATACTGATGAATCTGTCTCCACATCACATGCCTTATGTCCCTACGCAAAAATCTCGGCTTCCCTAGAATTTCTCTCGCATTGGAGGAAGGGTATTCTCACAAAGCTAATTTAATTTTAAGATCCTTTATTAAAAGGCCTGGTGGTATAGAGATGTAATTTAAACAGGCTAAATAAGAAGTTATTACATCTAATCAGTAACAAAATACTGATAAGCATTTAATCAAGATACTTAGGGTGAACCCAGGGATGCTTAGACTCATATTGGTTGGCTTCAGTGTGGTCAGGCAGGTATTAGCAATGAATTCTTTAAGGATTTACTTTTTTACGCCTTTTAATAAGAGCTGTCTTTGCCAATTACTGATGCCAGCTAAAAACTAATTTGAGACCGTTCACCCTTATTTCCAGTCTTAGTACAGATAAGTTTTACAACCACCTTTCTCCAAGGCCTTTCCTCCCGTCCTTGCTGATCAACAGTTTTCCCTAGTGCACCTGGATTCACATAGACCCTAATTTTTGAGATAGCATTGGTATGTGGTGTGGGAAGATCCATGTTGGCTCATTTTAAGACTGGGAATCGGTCTTATTTAAAATCATCTGCAGTCACCTCCATCAGTCAGAGGCTTGCTTTTCAGAAACTTCCCTTATTCATTAGTCTTGCTTTGAACCAGCCAGCCTCCCTACTTATAATTCCTTACTTTCAAAGCCTCTCTTTCTTGCTAAATAGGGCCTTTCTTTACACCGCATGTCTTTAACCAAACTTAAACTAAACTTTAATTCTCTGTTGTAATATTCATCCTACATCATGTGAAGGAACAGTAAAGTGTCCTACAGTGAAAAGGCCTTCATTTATGGCCAGTCCTTTGCCACCTGGGTCCAAACCCCAAAAACCACTGATCACTCACTGCTCCTATTGAAATCCCAGGTCTAGCCCTTAATGTTTAAGCACTAACAGTAACACATTTCAGAACTTGTCTCAAACACGAACGCTCTCCTTTCATGTCATGAATAGTGGCTAAACATACATGACCAGTGATCAAATACCTCCTGGTACACCACATGCTTGGGGGTGCCGTGCCATCGGACCCCTCCACTACGGACTGTCACACGTGCGTAGTGGTTTGAGTGTCCAGCAACATGGAGATTTCACTGGTTTATTTTGGGCTTCTGTTCTTTGCATCATAGCAGCAATTCTGACGAAATGCCCCTAAATAACTTGGGCAGATTCCAAATATTAATGCATGCTCTCGTTCCACATAATGTTGCTTGAGTGAATGTTTTTTACTCGTTTTTCTAGATTGCATTCTGTGGGGCAGGGTCTGATTGCATAACCTTCTGCTAGGGAAGTACCAAGCACGTTTTTGGCTGCTGCTATGTTGTGCGTTTTCCTTAACAGGGTTGGATCCAGCTGGCCCTATGTTTGAAGGAGCTGAGCCTCATAAGCGCCTCTCCCCTGATGATGCAGACTTTGTGGATGTTCTTCATACATTTACGAAGGAGACGCTGGGTGTCAGCATTGGGATCCAAATGCCTGTGGGTCACATTGACATCTATCCCAATGGGGGAGATTTTCAACCTGGGTGTGGATTAAGTGATGTTTTGGGAGCAATTGCATATGGGAGTAAGTTCTTATTTTTCCTATTTAATAATTGCCTTTGCTGGGAGGGGTGGACAATAAGAGACACCCACATTACATAAGCAGGTGTATTGGAATAATGCATACAACCTAACGAGGCAATTCTCCATCTGTCTTTAGATTTCCCCCTCCCTCCCTCCCTCCCCAAATCTGTAAATTTTGCAAGTCCGGTTTTAATCATCATCAGCTAAAAGACTAATTTGTACTCCAGACCATATTATATGGGCTCTGAAGTCTTGTTTTCTGTCTCCACAGCTAAATGTGTTTGAACAAAATTGTCAGCTTTAAATATGTTGTAATATCTTGTAGTTTATCTGTTTTTTGTCAGACTTAACTTGTGTTGAATTCCAATTAGTCTCACTAACTCTTGCAGTAAATTGGAGCTCTTGGGATGGTGAATGCTAAATTGCTGAAGTGTGTCTTACCACCACAATCTTTTCTGTTGAGCTAGATATTGGGAATGTTGTTAGATGCGAACATGAGCGATCTGTACACCTCTTCGTGGACTCCCTTGTGAACCAAGATAAGCAAAGTTTCGCCTTTCAGTGCACTGACTCCAGCCGTTTCAAAAAGGGAATCTGCCTGAGCTGCCGAAAGAACCGTTGCAACAGCATTGGCTACAATGTCAAGAAAATGAGGAACAAAAGGAACAGCAAGATGTACTTAAAAACCAGAGCTGACATGCCTTTCAAAGGTAGTGGTTTTTTTTAAAGCTACTGAGATCATAGCTTTAGAATATATATTTGTCAGATGAATGAGCTTTCTTCTGGTTCAGAATGCTTGAATTTAGATTTAGTACGGAGAGCTTTTGAGTAGAAACTAAAATATTATGGATGTACACAAAATGGTGACAATAAAAGCAACCTAAAATCTGCCTCATAGTAGCAAGACAGCAACTTTTAATATTAAGCAAGAACACTAAAACACTCCCCGCTAAAAGAAATGTTTCCTGTACTACTTCTGTGGGAGGATGCTTTCAACCGTGTTCCTCTATGCAAGAAATGTGTGGGCGAAGTAGAAAACTATGATTCTGCCACCCCACAAGGCTGAGGGAGCATTCCAAGAGTGGAGTTCCATCTGTGGCTGAGTAATTATCTGCTTTCTATTCTGAGTTAAGGCTCCTTGGCACCCCTCGAGGCTACCTGCATGGGTGACCTTGTCTCTGACAACTGGCTGGCACCCTCTTGCAGACCGTGACTTATCATGGAATAATCAATACCCTCTATTCACAGTCTGGGCACTGTGCTTATCTCTTTTCAGTTTACCATTATCAGATGAAAATGCACATCTTCAGCTACAAAAGTTTAGGAGAAACTGAACTCACATTCTCAGTTACCCTTCATGGCACCAATGGTGATTCTCAACCTCTCTCTCTGGAAATGTAAGTCAAGTGCAATGGATTCATATCCCTGTTTTTGATGGGAATGGTGGGAAGGGCTCATGGGACTAGAAGCGACAGTAAGGTACACTTGCACAAGAATTATTGCTATAGTTGCCACTAAGTCTAATATCCAAAGATTTGCTGAATGTAGTAAAGCAGCAACCTATGTACTGGTGGATTTTATTCTTGGGGAGATGAACTGCCACATAGGGAACAGTCTTCCTTTCCAGTACACACATTCCTGGGCTGTTTCCTCTTTTCCTTCCCCACCACTAGTCTTACCAGAGATCTCTCCTCTCCCCTGCATGATGGAGGATTTTTAATGTGGTTTGAAAACATCCTCCTCTAGTTTGTCTTTGGCAAAAAGCATTCTTCATCCTGCAGGATTACAAAAGGAGTGTATAGCTCCTTCAGCCCATCCTTCTGACAATAAGTAAATTGTAACTGCATGTTGCCTTAGAAGGTGATGGAAAAACGGAAGAAGCCAAAAATGAGATCCCCCTCCCCACAAGGATAACACTAAACCAGACAGCTACTTTCTTTAATCAAACCAGTAGCAAACTAGAAGCATGATCATCAACTGCCTGATTTGAATACTTGATACATGACCGAACCTCTCTTTTCCCAACACCAGAGTTTGAGAAGTGCAATAGGTCACTTCATTAATGAGGAACAAATGCTGAGTTTGTCTGTCTTTCAGACTTGAGCAAATTGGTGTGAATTCTACTAATCCTTTCCTGGTCTATGCGGAAGAAGACATTGGTGACCTCTTAAAGATCAAGCTCACCTGGGAGGGATCTGCTGTATCTTGGTATAGTCTGTGGAGAAATCTCAGAAGTTACTGGTCCCAACCTGATACATCTTCCAAGGAGCTACAGATCCGACGTATACGTGTGAAGTCTGGGGAAACGCAACAGAAGTGAGTAGAGCAGTACTTTTTTGTGGAACACTCATGGCTTGGGGTGACCTTGAGACTTCTGAATCAGTTGCGTTCAGATTTGTCAAAGACAGCAAGAAAAGTAGCTAGCTGCTGTTCAGTGAGGGAACTTCGATGGTTCAAGCAATGCCTCAGTTAGAGGGCACCCAATAGCATGGTTAACAGAAGTGAATTTCCTGCCTCTGTCAGTTTAGAGACCAGGCTTTCTGCAAAACTAATGAATTCACAAGAATGTACGTGCTGTGTCAAGGACTTTGGCTTCCTACATTACCAGTAAAGCACTAAACTAGAGGAGGAAACTATTTTGAATGCTATGCAGCAGCAGATTGTATGGATATGTAAAAAACAAATCATGTCAGAGCAACCTGATGGCTTTCTTTGATACGATAACAAGCCTTGGGGATAAGGGGGAAGTGAGAAATGTGGTATTCCTAGATTTCAGTAAAGCTTTTGATACAGTCTTAAATGACCTTATAGATAAACTAGGGTAATACAATCTAAAATGGTTGCATAACTGGTTGAATAACCATTCCCACAGGAGAGAAAAAAACAGCAAATGGTCTGGTAGCACTTTATAGACTAACAAAACATGTAGATGGGATCATGAGCTTTCGTGGGCACAGCCCACTTCTTCAGATGACTGGAGTTATGAGTAGGGGATTTGAAAATTCAAAATAAATAGGAGAAGGGAAATGGGGGGAGGGGAAGGAGAGAATGATGCTCTGGGGTGGGACCTTAAAAGCAGGTTAGACAACAATCTGTCAGGGATGGCCTAGATAGTGCTTGGTTCTGCCATGAGGGCAGGGGACTGGACTCAATGACTTCAAGGTTCCTTTTGGTTCTAGTGTTCTATGATTCAATGAAAACTAGAACTCTAGAAGGAGTGGTGCAATAGCATTCTAGAATTAGAAATGGCCTGTATCTGACAATCAGGTTGTTATAGAATCCCTCATAGCTGTAAGCAGTGCTGTAACTCTTGCTGACCCCTCTTATGGCTCTAGAAAATAATGATGGCCATGTGTTCCATTTAGAAGTTACTTTCCAAAACGCATAAATAACTTGCATCAGTTTGTATGTGCAGTGTCTCCATGGCTTTTGATCTTTTCCTATCAGGTTAACTTTCTGTGCAGAGGATCTTCAGCTGACGAACATATCTCCTGGTAAAGAGCTTTGGTTTGTGAAATGTAGAGATGGTTGGCCAACAAAGAACCGAACAAGGTAAGGTTTAATTAAATGGTTCTTTTTTGAAAGCCCATTGTCTAAGGCATTAGGCTATGTATAATGAAGACAAGTCTAACCAGATTGACACTAAAATTTCATTAAGAACATCTGTTGCATAATTCTTCCCACTTACAGTCTTGAGCAAGAAAACTTAATAAAACTGAATGGACTCTTAATTGCTAAAGGAATACTGAGCTAGCATATATAGCGATATATAACATCTTCTACAATGGAAGTACTCTAATCTCTAGTGCACCCTCCCAATCAACTAGCACTGGTCCTGCAGCGTGACTTTTAATCCATCAAGTGATAAATAGTGAGGATTTGATAACTTCCAACTATCCTCTGTTAAAAATAGTTCAATTTTGTTCCAGATCACTCCATTGACTTCAGTGGAGTTATACTAGAGGTGAACTTGGGCTTGACATCTCTTGGACTTGTTTTAAAGTTTAAGCTATAAAAGAGTCTGTTGAACATTAATGAAAATGCAAAATGTTAAAGCTTTTGCAAACACTGTAACAAAGCCCAGTGTCAAAAGTCTGCTTGTATAGTTACCTCAGATGGCAAAATTCTGGCTGAGAGCAATATCAGATAGTGTCTAGTGCTGGATTTGGAAGAAATAATGAATTGCTCTTAATGTTGCTTCTGTGTGTATTAAGGAATTTCCTAAATAAAATTATGTGCAAAGGCTAATGTTAAATTCTCATGGCAAAGTAAATGGAGAATGTAGTAGCGGAAACAAATATCAAGAGCTATGCGAAAAGGTACAAAGGCTGGCTGTGGTAATGCACTTCCTAGCGATGTCTACAGAGCAGGAGGAGAGCTCTCTTGTAGTGTAGTTTCACTCCTGGAATTGCTGCTTTGGAGCTGGAATCTACCACCCTTCCTCATATGATGTAGTACTTCACTCAAGTAAGCAGATGAGTATAAGTGGATGGACAGAGTTATGTCCTCGGGGTATCTCTAAAAATTAAACACCTGTTTGCTGACTTGGGTTTGTGAGACTTGGCCTAAGGGATGCCTAATTGTGGTGTAGACATTCACATTTGGACTGGTGCCTGGCTCTGGGACCCTGCAGAGGGGGAGATGCCAGGACTGACTCCAGCCAAAGCGTGAATGTCAATACCCTTATCCTGGGACAGCTGTCATGGACCAACCACAGGTGTTTAATTGCAGATTTCAATCCTTGAATACAATTACGGGTGCAGGCTCTAAAGACAAAGATCTTAAAACATATCATTGATGTCAGTTAGCAATTAATCTATTTGCCTTGCACCACAGTCCTCTTCAAGTTTTGTTCCAAGTGTAACATCCACTTGGACAGTTTGAGTTCCCATAAAAGGATCCAGTTCTCTGAAAGTTATTTGTAGGCAAAGGTTCCAAAAAGAACACAGTACTGAACCACACTTAGTTTTCAGCCTCCCTGACATGTCCTGGGTTTGTTTTACTAGCCCTTGTGTTACAATTTTGAACTTCTAACAAAAGAGCAATCATTGCATGTTACCAGGGTATATCTTTCACCCATGTCTCCCCCATTCTTTCCTTAGATCAGAAAAACCTTCAGTGCAGAATCAAAGCTGAAGACTTGCACAAAAGGATCTAACTATCCAAAACACAGAGAGAAAACTACTGCAGAAGATTACATAGGTGAAGAGACATTTATGTAAAGTTTGTCTGAGTACCACTTATTATTCAGGATAGAGAACTTGGTCTTGTTGAACAGATGTAGGCAATATTTCTGGTGAGGAGTGATCCATATGCTTTCAGTTGCTGTCCTAAAATAACTTATTAAAACTACTAAACTCACCCTATTTGGGTGAATCTGGTTTATGTGCATTAACCTAATTTTCCTGATCTGTGTTGTGCTCTGCATAGTCTATTCCTAATTGTCCCAGTAAACTGGAAATATCAACAAAGTTGAGATAAATCTGTGCCTTGGTTCTAGTCTGTGTGCCATGGAAGTCAATGGAAAATGAATTTATCTGATTCAAATAGTTCATGACTAAGCTACTAAGAATGCATAACAGTATGTATAGCTTAGGAGATACTACAGGATCTTAAATTGCACTAAAGGATGTGGAAGAATGAGTAGACCAAACCAGTGAAGTGTAAGAGACAGAACACAATATCATCTCTGTCCTAACTTCCATCTTCTCTCCATCCTGTTCTTTGCTTTTCCCAGAGACCATTACTGTACCTCTGCTAGATATTGTAGTACACATGACTAATAATGTAAAAAAAGTCCAATACTCCCTCCCCCTCTGTTCTGTAGAGAAAGCAGATACAGATATGTACTGAAGTTATTGGCAGCTACACTCCGTTAAAACTGTTTCCTGAAACATCAGTATTTTATTTAAACAAGGACTGTCCAGTACTTCCTTCATGCAGATCTTATCTGAAGAATATAGAAGGGTGCCAGCCGTTTACTTACTGTATACTGGGAAGGTATCAGTACTGCCTCAGGCAAACTTGACATCATTCAATAATATGTATTTTGAGGATGTGTTCACATATGCAAACTCAACTTGAATGCAGCAAGGCACGTTTTAAGGTTGCACACTCATGCACTTAACAAGGTTTAGGTACTCATTTAACCTACAACATATAAATACACTTCCCCTCCACTCCAAATTGTAAAGATATTTTTATTACATAATTCCAGATAAACTTGTTTTTATAATGGAATTAATCTATTCCACTTTTCTGGGAAACTAATGTTCTGAATAGTCCAGATGCTTGTAGGTAGTCAGTCTGCTACTGTACGTGTCTAGGCCAGAGGTGACCTGACTGTTTGTTTTTTCAGGGGTGGGGGCATTTTAATATGTTTGGGATTACTCTTGGCTTGGATGTTAAAGTGCAATGCTTTCTATACACACACCAAAGCAGCAATGCTGCCTGATGCATTGAGTTATGAAGACCATCATCATCCAGGTCTCTTGCTGAAAGGGTCAACAAAGGTATTTCAGTCTGGCTTCTTTCTTAGTGTTTCATTCCAACCGAAGTTAAAATAACCATACTCATTTGGAGAACAGCATGATGTTTGTCTTGGTTATGTACAGTCTTCAATAATTGAAGCCTCTGGTAACTATCTGTGATTTGTCACCATGCCATATATTTATACATGGTCTTGAAGCCCTATTTGTATATTATGGTTTTTGTATGACTTGGAATGCTATTTATTTCTCAAATGTACATATGTAAGTTTAAACCTTGTTTGGAGTAACAGTTTTTATAAACTTTAAGCAAAAAATAAACAAGTCTCTTGTAGAAATAAGTTGCATAGTTTGTAATTCTGGGAAAAGAGAACACCTGGTTTATTCCTATCACAATGACTAGGAAAACTATGCAGGTCAGACACTGTTGACAATGAAGCCATCGAGAACAGGATGTGGTTAACAAATATGCAGGCCAGAATAAATACTGTGATCATCTAGTTTGACCTCCTGTCTAACATACGCCATAGAACTACCCCAAAATAATTTCAACAGTTTATCTTTTAGAATAACATCCAATCTTGATTTAATAATTCAGTGACAAAATCTATGACAACGCTTGGTAAGATGTTCCAATGGTTGGTTACTTACTGTTCAATTTGTGCTTTTTTTTCTAGTCAATTTGTCTAGCTTTAATTATAGTGAACATAAGGGTAAGACTAGCCACTGGAAATGGGCAAAACTTTCTAGTGAAGGCAGGCAAGGGTGTATAAATTCTACTCTCTCAAGTGCAAAGTGTTCAATACTTTAGTGAATGTAGCTGAGGCTCTCTTTTACTGTTTTGTCTGCATTTAGACTCCCTCACTCAAGTGAAGTTATGATTGTTTTAAGAACAAAAAAGCATGGTCTACAAAAGTTACTGCAGAAGGACAATTCATGAGACTATAGCCATTCTAAACACCCTCATTTATGTTCCTCCAACTTTGTCAATGGGGTGACCTTCCTTTTGCAAAGGAACTGTAAGTTGAGTGCAATCTGGACTCGCACATCTATGTGAAGAATTACTGCTAATCAATTGCAGATTTTGAAGCCAGGGATTATAATATGACGTCCTAATGTATCATTCTGAGATCTTTAGCAATCCAGGAATTTTCAAGATCAACTTACTAGGAAAGAAGTTAGCTAAGAGTTACTGTTTTCAGCCAAGACTGCAGTTTCTTCCTCCATCTCTTAGCCTAGCCCACTTGCAAACTGGTGCTGAACTAAAGATCTGAATTTCTACTTTGGCTGGGTAGCTTCCCTCTAACTACTTACTTTGATGGGTTGGGTTTTTTGTATTTGGCTATGGAGAAGGATGGGTTATCTAAACGCTCCGTTCTAGCCCCACATGGTACAGCTATTATTATTTAAAGATATATTGCACAAAGTAAGGTTTTGCTTTCTAGAAGCCTTTTGTGCCTTTAGCAACTACCACCATTTTGGGAGTGAATGTGTTTGACTCCAGTGGCCTATGCTGACATTTAGAAGCCTCCCCAAACTCACAGAATACTGGAAAAGACCTTGAAAGCTCATCAAGTCCAGTTCCCTGCACTCACAGCAGGACCAAGCAGCATCTAGATCAGTGGTGGGCAAGATACGGCCTGCAGGCCAGCTCTGGCCCACGGGCCACCCAATCCAGCCAACAGGCTGCCCTCCTCACCAGGACCCTCAGGCACAGAGCAGCCAGCCACTTCAGAACAACCCCATACCAGTTTAAGCAGGTGGTTGCTCCCTGTGGCTCTGCTCTGGGCCCTGGGAGAGGGAAAGTCTTTGTGGAAACTGGCCAATGGGAGCGGAGAGATTTTGCTGGGGGCACAGCAGTGCACAAAGTCTCCCCCTCCTCCTGGTTCCTAAAGCAGAGAGCAATAGGGAGCAGCCAGGCATTTTGAGCACTCTGGGACCATGGCAGGCACCTTCCCACCACGGCCTGCCTCTGGCACCCCAGTCTTCTACCACCCCACAACTACTTGCTGTAGGCCACCACCTCCTCCTGCCCCAGGTCACCACCCAAACCCTCTGCACCCTCCCTCCTCTCCTCCTCCAGGTCAGAACTCCCTCCCAGACACTGCACGCTTTCTTAAATTCCTCTCCCAGGCTAGAATCCTTTCCTGCACCTATACCCCCTGCCAGCCCCTGCACCCCAAAGCTCCTGCACTAGATCACAACCCCCTCCGTCACCCAAACCCCACACCTCCTGCATTCCAGTCTCCTACCCTGAGCTCCTTTCTGCATGCAACCTCCATCCCAAACTCCACAGCCCCTCCATAGAAAAGTGCAGCCCTTACCACTTACCAAAATCTTAGATTTCCCCCCCCCCATCAAAAATTATTGATCTAGATCATCCCTGACATATTTAAGAGCAGGTTAGATAAACGTCTTCAATGATGGAGAGTCCATAACCTCCTTAGGCAATTTATTCCAGTGCTTAATCACCCTGACAGTAAACCTCCCTTGCTGCAATTTAAACTCATTACTTCTTGTTCCTATCAGGGGTTTAGGAGAATAATTTTTCTCCCTCTTAAGAACATAAGAATGGCCGTACTGGGTCAGACCAAGGGCCATCTAGACCAGTAGCCTGTCTGCTGACAGTGGTCAGCACAAGATGCTCCAGAGTGGGTGGACCGAAGACAATGATCAAGCAATTTGTCTCCTGCCATCCTTCTCCAGCCTCTGACAAACAGAGGCCAGGGACACCATTTCTATCCCCTGGCTAATAGCCTTTTATGTCCCCTCTTGGTCTTCTCTTTTCCAGACTAAACAAATCCAAATTTCAGACTTTGGATCCAATTCTTTCAGTCTTCCCTCATAGGTCATTGGAGCAAAAAAGCTCCAATCACGAAAATGGCTATCGGGGCTTTTTTGCAGAAAAGCACATCTAGATTGGCACGGATGCTTTTCTGCAAAAAGTGCTTTTTTAGCAATCCAGGAATTTTCAAGATGAACTTACTAGGAAAGAAGTTAGCTAAGAGTTACTGTTTTCAGCCAAGACTGCAGTTTCCTCCTCCATCTCTTAGCCTGGCCCACTTACAAACTGGTGCTGAACTAAAGATCTGAATTTCTACTTTGGCTGGGTAGCTTTCCGTGCCAATCTAGAATAGTGATAGAAATGTAGCCGTGTTAGTCTGGTGTAGCTGAAACAAAATACAGGACTATGTAGCACTTTAAAGTCTTTACATATTTAATCTTTAAAGTGCTACATTTGGCACGAACAAAATACAGGACTATCTAGACACTCTTTTCCACAAATGCTTTTAACGGAAAAGTTTTCTGTTAAAAGCATTTGCGGAAAATCATGCCAGTCTAGACGTAGCCTATAAGTATACTTTCTATGCCATTAACTAGATCATTGGTGAAGCTATGCAACAGAACTAGTCCCAAAACATCCCTGTGGAACCCCACTTTTTATGCCTTTCATTGATAGCTCTGAGAATGGATGTATAACTGGTTGGATAACCAACCCTATTGTAGCTCCATCTATAAGAAGATCATGTGAAACTGTCAAATGCTTTACTAAAGACTAGGTATACCATGTCTACTACTTCACCCTTATCCACAAGCCTTCTGGATCCTATCAAAGAAAGCTATCACGTTGATTTGGCATGATTTAGTCTTTAGAAATCCATGCTGACTGTTACTTATCACCTTATTTTCTTCCAAATATTTGCAGATGGATTCCATAATTATGCGCTTCAGTGTCTTTCCTGGCACAGAAGTTAAGCTGAGTGGTCTGTAGTTTCCTGGGTTTTCCTTATTTCTCTTCTTACATGTGGGCACTGTTTGCTCTTTTCCAGTCTTCTGGAATCTCTCTTGTCTTCCATGACTTTTCAAAATTGATAGCTAATAATTCAGTTACCACCTATCAGCTCCTTGAATATTCTGGGCCCTCATGACTTGAAGACATCTATCTTTTCTAAGTAATTTTTCACTTATTTTAACTTTTGAATATATCACCTTTTCAGCATTCACTATATTAGATATCCAATCACCACCAACTTCTTGGTGAAAACCAAAACAAGGAAGTCATTAAGCACCTCTACCATCTCGATATTTTCTGTTATTGGTTTTCCCTCTTCACTGACCAATGGGCCTACTCTGTGCTTTGTCTTCCTCTTGCTTCTAATATATTTGTAGAATGTTGTCCTGTTACTTGTTATGTCTCTAGCTAGAGTGGACTCATTTTGTGTCTTCACCTTTCTAATTTTGCCTCTGCTTACTTGAATTATTTGTTTAAATTCATCTTTGTAATTTGACCTAGTTCCACTTTTTATAGGGCTCCTTTTAGATTTTTAGATTATTCAAGATCTCCTGGTTAAGACAGGGTGGTCTCTGCCCATACTTCCTTTCATTTCTATGCAGTGGAATAGTTTGTTTTTAGGCCCTTTATAATGTCCCTTTGAAAAACTGTAAGCTGTTTTCAATTGTTTTTCCTCTTAGTCTTGCATCCCATGCTTTCTGAGTTTGCTAAAGTCTGCCTTCTTGAAATCCATTGTCTTTCTTTAGATGTTCTCTTTTCTATCATTCCTCAGAATCCATGAACTCTATCATTTCATAGTCACTTTCACCTAAGCTACCTTCCACATTCAAATTCTCAACCAGTTCCTCCCTGTTTGTTAAAATCAAATCTGGAATAGCTTCCTCCCCTAGTAGTTTTCTCCACTTTCTGAAATACTAAATAATCTCCAATATATTCCAAGAACTTGTTGGATTATCTATGTATGCCCTGCTGTGTAATTTTCCCAACAGCTATCTGTATATTTGAAGTCCCATTACTACCAAGTCCTCTGCTTTGGATGATTTTGTTTAAAAAAGCCGCATCTACCTTTTCTTCCTGATTAGGTGGTGTGTAATAGACCTATATCATGACATCACCCTTGTTTTTTAACTTTAGCTGGAGACTCTCAATAAGTCTGTCTCCTATGTCCATCTCAATCTCAGTCCAAGAGTACACATTTTAATATACAAGGCAACACCTTTCTTTTTTCCTTGCCTATCTTTCCTGAGCAAGCTGTACGAATATTAGAATAATAGAACACTAGAACTGGAAGGGACCTCAAAAGGTCATTGAGTCCAGTCCCCTGCCCTCATGGCAGGACCCAGTACCATCTAGACCATCCCTGATAGATGTCTATTTAACCTGCTCTTAATTATCTCCAGAGATGGAGATTCCACAACCTCCCTAGGCAATTTTATTTCAGTGTTTAACCACCCTGACAATTAAAAAGTTTTTCCTAATGTCCAACACAAACTTTGCTTGCTGCAGTTTAAGCCCATTGTTTCTTGTCCTGTCATCAGAGGCCAA